CCCCTGCCTAGAATCCCCCAGTGAGGGGCTGGGGTGTGACTCAGTGGTAGAGCCCCTGCCTAGAATCCCCCAGTGAGGGACTGGGGTGTGGCTCACTTACTGTAGTTCAATCCCCAGTATCTCAAAAACAAAACAATACAATTAGACACTTCAAACATCATTTGCAGAGAAGCAGAGACTCCTTACCTGGGCCTATAAGGCAACTAAGTCAAAGCAGCCTGGAGGCCTGGTATTCCCGTCTTTGCTCTGCATTTATGTTTTACTTGGTCAGCCGCGACCCCTGCTCATAGGTCCGTAGTCAGTCAGGGCAACCATCTAAAACTTGGTGCTACCTGATCTAGCTTATCACCCGTCCATAGTGAAGGGGCAGATTAGAGTCAAGGAGACCCCTTACTGTCAGCGTCTACAAGCCTCCTGTTCCCACAAAGAACCCACAAAGGCTCCAGTCACGCGGACCTGTAGTCATGTGGCTGGAGAGATGGCTCAGTGGTTAGGAGCGCTGCCATCCCTGTAAAAGACAGAGTTCAGTTCCAAGAACTTATGCATCGTCTCCTGTGGCTCTGTCTCCAGGAGATATGATGCCCTCTTCTGGCGTTCATTGGCACATGCACTCACATGCACACACACACACACACACACACAGTCATACACACAGACATGTAATGGAAAATAAAATAAATCTTTAAAAAAAACCCTAAACCTACGGTCACCTTGAATTCCAGAAAGAGCAGGACAAAGCCCCTCCCTGAGTCCACGCGAACAGTAACCCATGCAGAGGAGGCTGCAGCCAGGAGCTGAGGTAGCTCGCTTCTGAGAACTGACCTGTCCCCACAAGCAACAAAGGCTTCCTTGGACAGAACCAGACTGAGACAGTGACCAATCAGACCCCACCTTGACCAGAACTGCTTAGTTTATAGACATGGCTCTCCCTCCCTTCCTCTTTAGCCAAGAGCTCGTGTCGGTACCAGAGATGGACTTAGGGTCACGTGACCCCTTTATCGGCTCCTCTTCCCAGTGTGCACTGGCCAAACCCCCCTCTGCTTTTCATTATCACTCGCCTTCGCTCACATCTTAACCTCCTACTTTTGTTTTCTTTTTTTATTTCCGTGCGTGTGTATGTGTGTGACACACGCGCACACGTGTGTGCGTGCAGGCTCATGTGCCTGTGCAGATGTTTGCAGAAGCCAGTGGAAGCCAGCAAATGTCTCCTCTCTTGAGACCGGGTCCCTCACTGAACCTGGAGTTCACGGTTTTCCTGCCTGAGCTGGCAGCCGGCATGCCCCAGCCAGCCTCCTGTCTGTGCCCCCAACAAGGGTTCTGGGGATTTGAACTCAGAGCCTCATGCTTGCACAGTGGTGCCGCCCCTGCCGAGCCACCTGCCCAGCCTTTACTTTTTCAGGATCGAGGCTTATGTATCCCAGGTTGGCCTTAAACTTTCGATCCTCCTGCCTCCACCTCCGGAGGGCTGGGATTATAAGTGTGCACCATGGTAGGAAGTTTATGTGAGTGGGACACCAGGCAGGTACCTAGCTTAGCTTGTGCAGACTCAGAGAACCAGTGCTTTACACCAGGACTGCCCACACCCCTCCTGAGGGAGCAGCGACCCAGCAAGCCCGCTTGCTCAGGGTTGCAGCCTCTCAGTGGCCTGTGGCCAAGGCCCTGGCACCCACGTGGATGCAGCTCTCGAGTCAACCGGCAAAGCCCCCGAGTCTCCTGCCATGTGTCTCTCCAGAAGGAGGTTCCTACACATCTGGGCTTTGAACTGGTTGAATAACAGAGATGAGCCCTGAGGTCTCAGGCAATCAAAGCTCTCCAGAGCAGCTTTGAACTGTCTATCTCCACATTAAAGAGCTTTGGTCTCGGGAGGGAGGCAGACGTAAACAGACAATTAAAGTCCAGGAGTAGTGAGGGCCGTGGGGAGCTTCGTGACTGGGGCCGTGTGTGTGTGTGTGTGTGTGTGTGTGTGTGTGTGTGTGTGTGTGTGTGTG